ATCTATCACCCCTTAGAGGAAAAAGGTCCTCTCTTCTCCTCACTGAAAGGTAGACAAGATGATATCTGAAATCCCCATTTATTTATCTCCAAAGGCATGTGTCAATTCCCTGAAAGCAGGCGTCTTTCCACACGTTCTGTGTTGTGTTCTCTGGTTGTTGATGACCTTGGCTGAGAGCCAGGAGATTTGTCTTAGAAAGGGAGGCTAATTTTCTACAGCTCTAAAGCAGTGCTCCACTGAAAATCATGCCTATTTTTCGTGCAGGAGACCTAGTAACTCTCAAGGACAAGCTACTTGAGAGCCCAAAGGAAGCTGTACTACTGTTATCAAAAAAGAGAAACTCAAAGACTATACCTAGGGAACTTCCAAATGTCAGAACTTTATAGGGGCTGGGACAGAAACCTAAAGACCATGCTCCTCTGAGGCCATGCTCAGTAACACATTATGCACAGACCTAGTACTCATGAACCACAAATCTTTTCTCTAGAAACTGCTATCTCTGTTTTCATTTCTTACCTTCCATTCGCTGCCAACGTATACAAGCATAGATAGCAAATGCAGGTTTGGTTTTTTACATGATTATGCTAATAGGTTTCATGAAAGAAGATACCACTTGCAGCATGTTTTGGCAATTTAGGATTTTTTATAGTGAAATACCATTAGCAGATGGCAGAGGAATATTGAGTTGCACAAAGTACAGGTGTAGTAGCTAAGCAGCTGCCTTGCATGTTTCTTGCCCTTTGGAGAGAGGATTTATGCAGGAGCAGAACAACACTTCACATTAGTGTCTGAGCTAATTTGGCTGACTTCCCCATCCAGCTCCTTTGCTTTTTTTTTACCCTGTTGCAGGTGCCTTTATTTTACCTCTCCCAGAGCCTCATAGCTGTTCAGAAGTACTCCCTCCATGCCCGGATGCTGTGAGGGGGAACATCATGTGGTCCTGGCTGGAGCTGTGCAGACTTGTGCTGACATGGAGGGCTGTGGCACTTGTTCCCTGTCCACCCACCCCTCACTGTGCAGTGGCAACTATGCTTGTGTAAGAGACCTTGTCTTGGTAGTTCCCACTGTGTGAAATTTGGTCTTAGTTCAAGTCATAGCAAGAAAAAAAGGGAGTAAAATAATTTCTGCCTCTTGATTTCCTGATCCTCCCTTTGCTGAAGTGCATGGATCTGTATTTCATCTTTGATCACAGGGACATAGGTGCTTTTGAGGAACTTGTTGTTAGTTGATTGTTAACAATTTTTCACTGGGAAGTGGCACCATGAGCTCTCTGTCTGTGTCCTGTCCAGTCAAGCCTGCTGTCAGGGGTGCTGCTCTTCTTGCTTTTGGGAGGCAGACATTAGCTTGAGGTGAATGAAACAAATTCTTATGTGTGAAGCCCAAAGGTTCTTGAAAGGAATTTCAAGGCTGTCCATCTGACATGTTTGAAGGACAGCAGAGGAGCAGGAAATGAGACACAGTAACAGTGTTGTGGGAAACTTACTTGCAAACTTCCTTGTGTCAGTCTAATGCTGTTCAGCCCAGCCATGGCTGCGTGCTCCCATCCTGGCAGTGACCCTCAAGGGGGCTGTACCCATGACGTTCCCACCCCTTTTGACACCATGCAGCTGACTGGCTTTCAAGCCAGCAGACGTTTGGGAAGCCTCTTTTACTTGTGTAGTTTCTAGTGCTTGTACATTGGTCTCTTCAGCCACAGCTGTGTGTTCCTGCCGGGGTAGCTTGCTCCAGTCTTCCAGCACCCTGAGGGAAGGTGGCGGGTAAGAGGAGGGGCCAAGAGTTTAAAGCCTCGAGCAAGTGTACCAGAGCAGTGTGAGCAACGCTGGGAAAATATGGAAACGAGGGTGGGAAAGGGAGAACCCTTAAGCAGAAGGAAGATTGTTCCCTCTGCCCTAGGCTTGGAGGTGGCCCAGGTGCCTGCAGGATGACCAGGCAGCAAAGAGGAGGAAGGTGTCACCTTGGCCCTCCTGTGAGGCCAGCTACAACTCATGGGTGTAGCACTGGTAGCAACTTCTCTTATTTGGCCTTTCTAATTAAAAAAGAGGGGTTTGGAATGAGTAAAGTCAATTAAAAGTGAATGCAAAAGTGGTAGAGAAGCAGCATCTGGGAAGAGGGTAAAGAAACAAGAAATGTCTGAAGTGGTGCATCTCAAAGTCTCATTGTTACTCTATATATTTTTGCCCTTCCTCTATTTTTTTACCCTTTTTCTCTAATTGTTGGTTTGGGTTTTTTCCTTGGGTATTTCTCCTTTTGTTGAAGATAGGTTGTACAGTCAAGAACAAAAACCTTAATACCAGACTTCATGGGGCCAGTTGCACAGCTGGTGTGCTGGGCATCCCCTGCTAAAAGGAGGAGCTACTCCAGAACCTTCTGAAAACTCCATGAATATTAATTCATCTACTGGTTTTGAATGTGGTGCTGTGTCAGGAGCTTTGTGTATAACTGCATAGGCATTCCTTGTGGGTTGTTATTCAGCAATAGTCTTGCAGTAATGAAGTATGGTAGAGGTTTGGTGATTTAGAAGAAGGTTGAGGCTTGTCATGGTTTTAAAGAAATACAGAAAAAATACCACATACTTATTTTTATGGTTTCCTTGAGAATACAAAATGTATATGGACACAGCCAGCCAGCATCTTGGAAAATCTACAACAAACCTCATAGAGGGAATTCAGTGAAGTCTTTTCTCTGCAAATATGATGAATCATCTTATATGGCGGTCAAATTTGACACCATTCTGTTTTAGTAACTAAAGAAATGAAATTAATCTAGGTTGTAAAATCCAGAATTAGTTGGGGGAAAAAAATCCTTAAAGCCATTTCCCCAAAAAGGCACATACAACAGAAATAAATTTCAAAAATGAAGTAATCTTTTTCCACGCAAGTTGTCATGTAATTTTGCAGTACTAAATCCTTGGTGAAAGGCTTGTACTTATCCTTCGTGCAGGAAAGGAAGATCGAAGACATTTCTAGTCCATGTTAAGCATTGCTATTTCTTTACATGCTGTTAAATGCTGATCATAAATACTGAATATTGCTTCAAATGATTCATGTCTCATATCAGCTTCAAAAATCAGTGAAACTGTTCTCATATATAATTAAGGAAGAAAGGCTGTATTGTCCCAGGAAGGTACCTGAAACTGCCACTGTCTGCCTTTTCTAGCAAAAGCATGAAGTATGTAGCAGCCCCTGACAGACAGGAGCATATCAAGATAGATTACCAAGCATCTATGAAGTAGATCAAGCAGAACAAGAACTTTGTTTGAGAAATATTATATTAATGATTCACCAGACAGACCTCACTACCGTAGAATATTAATGAGGCATTGTTAAATAAAAGGTGTGTGTGTGTGTGTATGTGTGACCATATCTATATATTATAGAATATCATTTATGTTATTTTATAGAAGATAAACCCCTTTAGCTTTCAAAACAGGGGGCTTTTTCTAATTGACTACTATCCCTTGCTACAGAGATACCCAAAGTCCCCTCAAATGCTGCCTGAGATGCTTAACTTTTAAAATCAAAATTATCCTACACTGCTGGTAGTTGCCTGTGGTGTTTCTTCTCTGTCCTAGACCATGATACTCCTGTGGTTTGGGGCATGGAGTAGTCAATTGCCCAGCAGTAGCACAAGGCTATCCAACTGACAGGGTCTTCCAGATAACACAAACTAGATGCATAAGACTTCTGTTAAGTCTTAAGTGAGCAGACCTCCAGCATTTTGGAGGGCTAACAGGAATAACTTAGTGTATTCAAGGCTTCACTTGGAAGAGATTCACATGATGAAATGAGTTTGTCAGCAGTGCTGAGCTCTACCCACTGGTAGCTGACCTTGTGATGCCACTCACAGGCGCACACTGTTTCCAATATCCTCCTTTGGCAAGGAGGAGGAAGGAGCAGATATCAAAACCTTTTTTATACATATCTTTGACATTTCACAGTGAGTGCATTTGTTCATCAAGTGCATGTGATTTATAGGTACTATGCACTCATGATGTGCTGCTCTAGCTCTGTAAGAGGAATTGCCTGTAATGTTGGCAGCAGCAGAGAAGGCTCTGGCTAATCCTGGTAATCCCTCTGACTTGTTTATGCTGTACATATTTATCTGTTGTAAATGTATGTTTGATAGGTCAGGAGTTCAATAAAAGTGAGTGTGTCTAACCTTGTAATACCATAGCTGCTGCCAAATGAGTTCTCAGGATCAGAGGTCTCTGCAACCTTAAACACTGCTGGTAGTGCTGCTTATGCAGCCCTGCTAACATTTAAATAAGCTTCCTTCATGCAAACAATTGATCCTTCCTGAACACAGGGTAGATAATTTGTGGTTATGTGTTGGCACTAAAGCTTAGGAGATGGTGTGCATCTTGGGATGGTAGCCTGGTGTTATGTACAGCTTCAGCACAGCCTATATCCCAGGCTGACAGCAAACTCTATGTTATCTCAGTTGGCTCAGGCCACCTTTATGCCTATTACAGAGATTTACAGCAAACTTGTGCTTCACAGAACTGAGCAGGGGTTTATTAAAGACTTTGTGACTTCCTGTTAGCCACAACAAGGATATTATTGCTGCTTGTCCCATTATCATCAGATGAATTACTAATGTGTTGTTCACCACACTCAGTGTATGCCTACAGCTGCAAATGGGACAGAGCTGGCTGACAGCATCTGAAAGCCTCTGCAGCAAGTAGATAAATGGCAGAAGTTTAGAGATGAACTTGGTTTGGAAGCAAACTTCCACTGAACCAAAAGAAGTGTACAGGCTTTTCAACACTTGTTTGTTTGACTTCACTGGAATTGAAACTAGGTACACGAATGTTCAGAGGACAGAGGAAGGTGTCCAGAAATAGCACAAGAATTTAGAGCATCCCAGGGATAGGGATGCAACATGACTAGTAGCTGCCTTTTTGGCACACAGGTTGGGGTTTAAGCCATGTTTCCACTCAGCTGTATTCTCTGACTCTTTTTTTTTGGGGGGGGGGGCGCTGGGGAGGTCAAGTGGGGAAATTAAGTACTGGTCTTCATTTAAAAATGCTGTCCTGAGAAATACTTTATTCTCCAACTGATAATTTCTCATAGAAAGCTTCTGCTGCAATAAATCTGCAGTTTAAAAGGGAAAAGAACAGCAACTCCTTATTTCAATTTTTTTTTTTTTTAAGGTTTCCAGCCTGCTGTATTTTAGAGGATGTGCTACTGTGAAGGCTTAGATAAAATGGAAGTAAAGATCCTGCTATTACTTCTCAATGGAGATCCTAAAGCCTTTAGCACTTGAGAGCTGAATCAAAGGCCAACTGATGTGAGAGTTTAAGGCTTTTGCTGCTGTGGGATGTGATGCTTCTGAGGCACCTCACTGTATGTAAGAAAGCCACAGGTAAGCTGTTATGGCTAGAATTGAAAGTCTGCTCCAAAGCCCAGTGACTTCAATGGGTCCCCAATTAGCCCTTATGGTGTGCTTTTTTTCTTGGTGGGGAGTTGGCAAGGGAGTCATAAACAAACCTGAGGCTCAGCCTCAGGGTGCTGCTTTGGATTTGGTTCATGCAAGGATGAGTGCTTTCACCCTTCTGGCTCTCTTTCTGCTCTCGTAATGTGTATAGGATGACCAAAATCTGGATGCCTTGTTTAGGTGATGTGGGAAGATCTTTTGTTGACAGGTTGGTAAATCAAGCCCCATGCCTGATTTGTTCAGTGAGCTGCAGGTGCTTTTATTCATAATCTGCAGCCCCATAGCAGAGGAGAGTTTATTTACAGCTTATAATGAAACTAATGCTTGAGAAACAAGTTGGTTAAAAAATTGCAACAGGAATGGTCATCAAAGTTGGAAAAGCAGGAGGGTTGCAGTGAAAACAGTCACTCTATAGTGGTGTTAGTTTTTAAGGGATTAAGCACATCTTGGTAGGTTGATGCTGAAAGGTAATGATGAACATCTGAAACCTCCTGTGGTGCTGGAGCTGCTCAGCACCTCCTGGGTTTGGTAGCAACATATGCTCCTGTTTGTGTGTACGATCAGCACCTGACTCTGCTGCTTTGTTATTTACTTTCAAAATGTAGTAATGCAACATAAGCCTTGAGGTTCACTAAATTCCCTGTGCTCTCACAGGATGGTGAAGGCTCAATTTGCATGTACACCGAATTGCTTGAATACACTGAATCAGCTACCTGATGAAATAGAAACATCAGAAAGATATGTGGTTATTTAGGCTTTTGGTTAAAGTTTCTGTAGTGTTCAGTAATAATAAAAAGATGGTGCTTTGGGTTTTGGGGAGGCATGTGTCTCTTCTACGAGAGTGAGGAGGGTATCTTATGCATTTGTAGCTGATTCAGGTGAGGAAATAGTCACCATGGCACTAATTTGCCCCTGGATTAGAAATGTCAGGAAAGATTGTGAAAATGCACTGATGGTAGCAATTATATTGATAACCTAGCATTCCCAGAAGCAGAGAAATCAATCTTGCACTGACAAGATTCTGACAAATTGCTATGAAAATCAGAAAGGAATCAATATTCATTGTGTGATAGAAATAGCTGAGAGGACTTTTTTATTCTTCATGGTTTTCCCTTTCATTATTTTTTCATCTTCCTCCAAACAGTGTGGTTGAAAACACTGTTAATGAAAGAAGTAAGAGAAACTTTAAAAGAGAAGCATCATTGGATATGTAGAGTGGCCACCTAACTAACCTGGCTTTCTTTATACTTACCTGCATGTAGTATTTTAACGGCTTTGGCATTTAGGAAGGGTGTTCTCTGTGAGTCCCTTGTTCTGAGCTGAGAAGATGGGGGGTTACCTTACTGATATTGAGTTTTACACTTCTCTTTTATCCCTCTGATGGCTCTCATCAGAGAATTAGAAACAGTTTATCTTTTGTCCTGCCATTAGTCAATTAAGTTCATTGCTCTGTTAAAGGGACATCCTCCTGCAACTTCACGGACCTGGCTGATCCTTTACTCACAGCTGTGTGTCAGGCAATAATTTCATTTGGTAATAAATGAAAAGTTTGACACTCCAAAAACTTGTCTAACCTCGCTTTTTTTCAGTGAGGTTACAAAAACTTACACCAGCTCATGGTCTTCTCGAACTCTGGTTTCCAGCCCTTCAGTGTGTCACCAGCCATACACTTTGCACTGCATTTCATTTTGGTCTTCACACTGTAATGGATTTTATTTTAGTTCCAAAACATATGGAAAGGGGGCATTTGGACCTCAAGAGAGCTTTCCATCTTGAAATATAAGTGAATTTGTGATTGGGAAGCTGAAATAAAAATGAAGTGTTTTGAATGCATGGATTTTTTTAATTTTTTTTTTTTCTTCAGATTTTCAGTTTGCTCCTTTTGAGATATTTCTTTTTTAACCCAGTTTGGATTGGGGAAAACTGTAGAAATGTTCTGGCACCTGTGAGCTGAAATGGGTTATGCAAACTTGCAGTGATGGAAATAAGGGAATAAAATTGACTGTCCCATCTGCATTCTGTTGCTGCCTTGTTACTGACTATGCTGAGAACAAATTTGTTCAAATTTGAACAAATATTATTTGGCAAAAATGGTAAAGTTAATTTTAAGTCATCTGAATTGTACTGAGTTAGAAAAGATGGCAAAAATATGAAGGAGATGTTTGAAAGTCCACGAGTTGAAACTAAATTGTGTACCATTAATTCAGAATCTGCCCCTTTCAGCAGTATGTGCAAGAAAACCAGAGGCTTTGGAATATATTAGATTGGAAGCATTAAGTTTAACTAGAAACTGCTAAATGAAATGTTTAATAAAATTTCAGTAAGAAAGGAAAAAACCACTTTGCTCCTCAAAGCCGCATCTCCTAGGAAATGTGTATGAACCCAGCTGTCTGGGTAGAGCATTGACCGTGTACTGCAAATTTGTGTGGTAGAGATATATAATGTGAATCTGAACTGCTAGAGATCCAAACCTGAAAAGGTCCAGAAAGGACCAATTCTTGTCATGAATAATAAGCAGGCCAAAGTCATGTACTGCGCAAAATGCTACATTTCTACAAAGAGCAGCGAGCGCTAGAGGGTGAAAGTTTGCTTTTTCATAATGAGGAAATAATGTAAATGTATGTAATCATAAAGACCTACAATGATGTTTGAGGGAACACTGAGGGACTGACATGAGATGGTATTTAAAAGGAAAGTCCCAGATTCAGCTCTTGCAGGTGTTTCTCAGAGCCTGCAAGCCCAAGGACTGGGAGTTGTCCTTGGGCTGGAGCAGTGGGATGCAGGTAGGAGAAAGGTGGTCTGGCATCCAGGAAGCATTTGTGGTTCAGAATGTGCCTGTAATGAGTACTGTAACTTGATGTACAGTTGCAAGAACACTTTTTCCAGGAGCATGGTTTGTTAACATAACCCTCATATGCAGTATCTCCTGCCCTCTCCAATTATTCCTTCTTTGTCTTTCTAATGGTTGAATTTTTTAAATACTCTCCACATGGGGAAGTGATGGCATACTGCTATGGATGTAGTGCCAAGACATATGGCAAAACACCCTTTGTTCAACAGCAAATGGATTTAAGGGACATGTACTTGCCATGTCTTTGTGAGTCTTTGTGAGTCTTAATTATTACCACCAGTTTGCAGCTCAAAGAAAACTATAATGCCAGCACCTAACAAGCTTCTTGAATCAAAGGAAGCTATTCCCGAATTACACACAGCTTTGTTTTGGATCTCAGATTAGCATAAACATCCTGGCTTGGAAATTTTCAGAAATCTAAAATGCCCAACAGTCATGTAAATCAAGTTAATTTACAACATTTCATTTCTAGTTTCTTTAACTGCAAATTAAACTATCTTCTGAAACAAAAAATACATTCTCCTTCATCAAAAAGGAGATACAGGAGTATTTAGCAGCATCATAATATCTCACTTTTACAACTTGGATGTATTTTTAAAACAGAAATTGCTGTAAATGACTCTCTTTCCATGAGTAACTGAGCTTTAACAAAGTGTCATTTTCTTTTGGAGAAATGTCTCTGTGAAATTCTTAAGAGTTTTCACAGCAAATGATGCTCCATGGGAACTAATGTATTGTGGTTTGGCAGTGTGTTTTTAACGCTTTCAGTGAAGCAAAATGTGTGTTGAACTGGTCATGCCTGGAATATTCTTTGTCATATGAATGTTCCTGTTGTGTATAACCAAAACTTTTGTGTTTTTCTTGTTGTAGATACTCCAGGATGCTTTGGCACTCTTTCTTTCTTTCTTGTTGAGTGCGTGCCAAAACGTAATTCTTTGCAACCTTGAGTCCAGAAGCTGAGGTTTTCCTGTATTTCTTCCAAGTCAGGCTAGTGTTGCTGTCCACAGCAGCATAGCTTGTCTGGAAGCTGACAGTGACTGGGTATAGCACTGGAAACACAACAGCAGCACAGTTAGTTTATTTGCTAGAAAAGGCATCACCAGCTGGGCCCTAAACTCAAGGACTATTGACTGGCCAAGGAGTTTGCAAACCCTTTTATAGAAGTCTTTGGCAGAAAAATTACAAATATGCACTACTGCAGCATGCAGAACATCTTCACATAGTGAAATGCGTCTCTGGATTTCATTGGAACAGTGGGATACTTTGCATTCTGTCATGCTTCATTCTTCTGTGCACTTCTCTTGTCTGGGTATTGCTGCTCCTCTTCCTATTTTTAAACAGGGCTTTTTAAATTCTGGGAAAGTAGACCTTACGTTTGACAGCAACAACTCCTGACATAGGCAGCCAGCTTAGTATAGCATATGTGAAGAATAACAGTTATTCTCTGTCAATATGAAGCCCCCAGGAGTAGAGTTTTTAAGACTAACAATTTATTCTACTAGCAAAAAAATCCTTCATTTATTTTACTCTTCTCTTTCCTAAATACAGAACAGTAAAGTTCATTGGTGCTTATGCTTATCAAATTGTCAGATGGGTTTGTCCATTAAATATACAGAGTCTTATTTTTGAAGACAGACGTTGCATTATACTCTTTAGGTTTATTACACTATCTATTACTACTGGGTAAACTGTGGCCTTGACTTCCAAAGCAGAGATAAGTTATCAAAATAGTGCCAACACCCCCCTCCCCCACAAAAAAAAACCAGTGTTTTTTCTTTTTTGTGTTTTTGTTTATTTGTTTTTGTTTGTTTGTTTTGTTGTTGTTTGTTTGTTTGTTTGTTTTGTGCTGGTTTAGTTGTTTTTTTTTTAAACTCGGTTTGTATACCTCATTCTTGTGCACAGAAGGCTTAGAAAGAATAGGAGGTTGTCATACAGAGCCATTGCTCTGGTTTGATGCTGAGGATAAGGCATCTTTCATCTTTCTTTTGCTTTTGCGAGTTGTTTGCTATTTGGCTACAAATGATGTTTGGCTTTGGTTAAATTTCCATCAAAGAGAATTTTTTTTTGTTTCTGCTGA